CCACCCCCCCGCTGCTGGGGGATATCACGGCACCCTTGCATCTGGGACTGATCTGAAAACTCCCTGCTACTACAGGAGGCACACCCGCTAAACCCAAGATGGCGGCAGAGCACCACACCACCTCACAAAGACCTTCTAGTGGCATTCGACGACTTATACAAAGCCTTTTTGGGACAGGCTGCAGCAACAAGTGGCTCCCGGTATACCACAAGCAACAGGTGACAAGGGAAACGGGACCAACTTCCCCCCAAACCACCACCACTATGAACAGCCAGCCAGGCCCACGGAAGACCACTACGGCAAGCAGGGGGACCCCTCCAACGCCAACACGTGTTGTGGCAGGGCGGGAAAGGAAAACCCCGGCCAGCTCGGCGCATTGGCTCCCTAAGGAGAAGAGGTCCACAAGGCTCACTAAGCCTGAGCCAATCCCCCCCGTGCTCTGAACTCCAGTCGGAACGAGGATCAGCCCCACGGGCTACCTACCATCGGGCAATAACCCACAACTGGGGCTCTCATAGGCTTCTTCAGGTTGCTTCGAAGAAAATATCCTGTGCCCGGCCAGATGGTTCTTTGGTGCCTGCCTGGCGACAGGGCATCGGCTGAACGAACTGCCATTCATGGGGCCCTCTGCAAATACAGCCTCTCAGGGGACTATCATACCTAGCACAGGGACTTTAAACCAAGACTACATTATCTTTAATCTCCTACATTGTGACTCACAGTGGTGCCTAACCCGCAACGATCATCCCTACTGAATTAAGTTATGTTTACGCTATATGTAAATCTTTAACCTATCTTAGCTTGTACTTTCTATACAAACCTGTAACTTAACATTGTTCACACTTACACATTTAAGATTCACCACTTGTCTGTCTCAAGCTTGACGAACTCCGCACAACCCAGCACATCAGACATTATTTGTTAGCTTGTCTTACTTAATTTAATTGTTTTCATACCTCTATCAATGTGCCTACGATTTTGTATAGCCCTGCTTCTCTCGCTCAATAGGTAATCTAGACATGTTCTGCTTAGCCTGTTATTTACACTACATAAAATAGTAAAAATGTACAGTATACTCGAATGCCTTGTAACTAAAATGCCTTGTCCAATTAACTTTCTTGCCAGTGCTGTTGGGGCATTGAAAGATTGTCTGTTAAACATGTGCACACAAAAAAACGAGATTATTTGTTTTTAAAAAGTGTGCGTGTATTTGTGTGCGTGTCATTGAGTGTATATCTACTCCTGGGAATGAAATGTCCATAACCTTGTTTATCATTTTGTAGTATGAAATCCCTATGGGACTTAATAATATCCTGTATGATTGCAGAACATGCAGCAATCTCAATATCAAAATGTGTCCAGTGATCGCCCTAATCTGCCCATGTGCCCAATAGTTAACATTAAAATAACCTAAATGTTACAACTGTGTCAGGATTTAATGAATACCCAACATGCATAGCTAAGTTTTCAAAATAAAATTATAACCAGCCTACCAAAGCGTATTACCAGATCTTAGAATGGCTGGATTTAACACTAACAAATAGAATAGTACAGATCAGGCCAAGGTGAGGGAGACAGTGTGTAAACGGTAAGGCAAGCCATATCAAGGAATACAGAAGATTGATTAGTCAAGGTACAAGCCGAATCAATTATTAGAACATGCTCTCAGATAACCACAAGGGAAACCACGACAGGGTACTGCACTAATGTCACAATGAGCTATAGATGCGCCAGAACGTTATATATAGACATGTGCAATTCGTTTCGGTTTGAATGTCAATTTGGACGAATTTTGGCAATTCAGATATTCGGATGCTTCCGAATGTCCGAATTGCCAAATTTCGGAAGTCCCAAAGTGCTTCGGATTTCTGAAAAGTGTCAAAAGAGGAGAGGGAGGGAAATTAAGGGAATGATGACCGGAATATAACCCTAACCCCAACCCTATCCCTAGTAGGGTTAGGGAATTGCCAAAATCCTGAATTTCAGAAGTGCCGAACCAAACCAAATTTTTTTGCCCATGCACATCCCTAGTTACATAGCTATATACATGCAAGAATACTGACGCCAGAACATGCACACATGATGTCTGCATTACAATGCACACATATTCGCATTACTAATAGTTTCCAGGGAGGTGGGGCTATATATTGGCCAGAATTTTGAAGTGGTGTGTGTCTATTAATATGCCGAATGGGAGTCCAGGACGAGAGGGAGGAGGCCAGAGCTGCACCCCTGGTACACGAACCAGCTATGCTGGAGCATGCCTCATGGACACCTTGACACACACTGCTGCATATTTTACTTGTGGCAGCTCCGCCGTAGCATAGAGCAGATTCCATGAGATAATTTGTTCAGTGAGCTGGCTAAATATTACACAAAACTATACATGGATGCTTGCACATGTTGAAAATGTTAATTACGGTAAGTGGAAAAGAAGTCACTTTTTATTATCCAAGACTTGATTACAGGGATCTTAGTCTGCGCTATTAAAAAAAATAAAAAAATAATAATAATTATAATTGTGGCTGCAGTTTTAAAGCATTGAGGAGTTTATAAAATGTATTTCTTGAGTGTGAAATTATTTTGTGCTGTGTGAAAAATGCTAATAATATCTGCTTAAAATAAATGCATCTTCTCACGTTGTTGTTACAACTCTTAACAACTTGCCAACTTGTAGGCACAGAACATCATGTTAGGATATAGTTGCATTTTTTTGGAGGGAGCTTGATGGCTATATAAAAAAATGCCCTAGAGCCAGTCTGTGTCTCTTTTCACAAAAAGTAGATTCCATTCTATATGAAAAGTTTATTAAGGGACATACTTATCCCCCAAAGTTGCATGTTGTGAGTTGAAAAGGTATTTGCGTTACATCAAAGTGTTGTGGCATACGTCAATGAGTTCACACATCTATTACACCCACATGAATGTGACTCTTTAAAACACAGGTGTAACATAAATCAAAGTGTATCTTTTGTTTTTTCTTTCTTTCCTTTTCAGCAGAGAATTATAGGATAATAAATATTCCCCCTTTAGTGTGAGGACAAAAAAAACAAAAAAAAACTACATCTGTAAAATATACATATTTGTATTACTTTGCTGTAGGCATATTAGGGGTCAGTAAAACTATGTGATTATACCAATAATTATAAGACTTCTCCAGACATACAAATGTATGAACCAAATGTTGGACTGTACCTTTCCTGGCAATAATTCAACATATAGTAAATACAGCTGCCTTGTAGAAATCATGCATCTGCATACTAATTCTCAACACCTTATGTGCTATTTAGTACCACCTATTACATGAAGCATTCTAGGCTCCAGTAGAGTACAAGGGAGCTATTCACAATATATAGACCCTTTGTGTGAGGTAGGAGGATGGACTGGAGCAATATGGTCCTTTGACATATAAAGAAGAGATCCAGGACTGCTGGGGGAAGGTGTTATGTATATAAAGCTTTCTTTAGAAGATGTCTTCTTATGTATATAAAAGAGTTTGTGGCTGATGTAGGGTAATAGCTGCTTGATCCAAGGATTACTCTGACTGCCATTCTGGGGTCAAGAAGGAATATTTTTTCCTAGTTTGTTGCAAAATTGGAAGTGCTTCAAACTGTTTTTTTTTTTTTTTTTGCCTTCTTTTGGCTCAACAGCAAAAAACAAATGTGAGGAAGGTTGAACTTGATGGACGCAAGTCTCTTTTCAGCTATGGAACTATGTAACCGGAGCCGACTTTGAGTAGATGAGTCTCTCCAGAGCTCTGTGAGTTAACTTGAATATTCTCGATTTTCTGAGTGCTTATTACTATAGATTTGTTGCAGGCCAAGCCATTCCATGCCTGAAAGCCATGCGGTTCTCCCTTCTATTTGGAATTTTTATTAGTTTCTGCCTAAACTTCTAAGAGTTTAGGCTGTTTTTTTTTTTTTTTTTCTTTGTTTCCCAATAATTCTTTATATATCTACCGCTAGTGATGTCCCGAACGGTTCGCCGCGGACTCTTCATTGAGTAAACTTTGACCCTGTACCTCACAGTCAGCAGACACATTCCAGCCAATCAGCAGCAGACCCTCCCTCCCACCTCCTGGACAGCATCCATTTTACATTCATTGTGAAGCTGCATTCTTAGTGAGCTGTCCAGGAGGTGGGAGGGAGGGTCTGCTGCTGATTGGCTGGAATGTGTCTGCTGACTGTGAGGTACAGGGTCAAAGTTTACTCAATGATGAGTCCGCGGCGAACCGTTCGGGACATCACTATCTACCGCCTCCCATGATTGACAGGCTAGTTGCCATTCTACTAAGCACTGTCTGCTCACTTATTGTATGTCTATATAACAAACACATGTAGAATATTTTGCATTTTATAAAATTTAAAAAAAAAAAAAAATATATATATATATATATATATATATATATATATATATATATATATATATATATATATATATATATATATATACATATATACATGTTAAGATTAAAAATTATTAATTTGTCCTCACAACAATGACAAAAGTAAGATTTATGCTATGGTGAGAATTATTATTTCATGAGGCCCTAACTTGAGATTTTGGTGAATTGTGTCTGGGCTATTTGTGTAAAATGTGAATTTCTGTGAATTAAGTGAATTTAACATTTTAGGTCATATTATCTAAATGATCTAAAGTATATTTTTAGTTTTACTATTGTGGCCTAAAATTCTAAATTCACTTTGAATCCCTTATATACATCTTTGTTTCTACTTATTCCAGTTCACTCATGTGAATGGAATTTTCATTGTATCAAATGCTTGGAATACATTCTGATAGAATTCCAAAGTTCGTATTTATGCCTTTTCCCAAATATAAAAAAATGCCTTTCCAACATGGGATTAACTTAATACGAAGTCATAGTCCTCTTTCATTTATCACATTCCTTCTCTTTTTCTGCAATCAGGCTTACTTCCCAGTAACTGTTTATAATAAGCAAGAAATGCCACACATAAAAAAAAAAAAAATGTTTAAACAAGTTAAAAATAAACGAAACCACAATATATTTTTATTGGTTCGCTTATGAAAAGTTTAAATTTACAGCTTTTTTTTTTTTTTTGTAAATATTGGCTTGAGTTCCAAAATGACTATAGCACCACAAAATAATGAAATACACTGGTGATTGTAAAGAGAAGAAAAATACAGAAATAGAATACTGAAAAAAGAATAACAAAATATCAATAAATTATTGGTTGAATGGAAGGAAGATGATAATACCTTTTGAGGCTGAATTTAAATATTTTATGTAATTTGTTTTATTTATTTTTTTATCAAATATAAATTCTTATAGTCTACATAATAGATTTATAACTAGTGGATTTTTACATAATGACTGTGAGTTATACTTTCTAAGGAGGAGAAATAAAGAAATGTATCAAATGTCTACAGCATCAACATTCTGCAACACGGGCCTTGACGTAGTTCACCAACACTCCCATTAATATCAGACAATTATTCCTTGTCACAATTAAGTGCCTGTGAGTAGGACTGCTCAAAAAGTGGATCCCCAGCAGTAGTTAAACCAATACCCCCTTATCTATGCAACACGTGTTACACACAGCAGATCGTATATTGTACTGATTACTGTAAACGTGTTTAGCCGTTTTATATATAATTTTTGTTTGTTTTCTTTTAATCCAATATGTTCCTTGTGAAAATGATATTCAAAGGAAATTTAAACAACTCTCTCTCTCTCTCTCTCTCTCTGTGGAATGTAGGGTGCCACTAAGCAAATCTTGAATTCTGTGACTGTTAGTGTCAAGTGATCTCTCCAGCCTGACCCACACTTATTTTTTTATTTATCAGTGAATGTCAAAGAATATTTTAAATTTCATGTTTCCCAGATGCACTGAAAAAAATGCCAGATAAATTAGTAATCCCAGCTTGATGGAAGTATATTGACCAGCTAAGAGTGTTGTCTTAAACAATTTTTCTGTAAATATATGTATATATCTTAAGCAATAAACAGGTAGCACCAAAGAAGACCATCTTGTGTTTTGGCAATGGTACAAGGCCATATTTAGGGATACAGTGCTATGTGTCATGTGATTCATACGAAAGCGACCACTACAGTGGCTGCAAAGTGAATTTGTACCATATGTTTCATGTGAAGTAAAAACAAATCATTCATACAGTTAAATTTGGATAGGTCTTAAAACGTATATCCCAGTGAGAATCCCGATTGTCTACCCAGAACATGGTAGCATGTATGTGTGGTGTTTTAAAATGGAAGAAAAGAGCTGTGGCCTAACTGCAAACGTGGACATAGGAACCACCAGCTCCGAACCTTTCTTCAACCTGTTTTGCTGATGGTCTACTGGTGTGCATGAACATACAGAAAACACTATCCCCTTGACCCTTCGATGGCAGTATTACAGAAATGAATGTAGGTATTCCATCATCCTGTGTGTATTCATTCACCCTCACAAGAATCTGAGCAAATTCATTCTGGTTTACACTAAGCTGCGAACAAGGGGCCCCCCACACCACTACACCAAAGCCAAAAATACCTTATCAGCAAGTAGTTCTGGCACAGGCTGTAATAAATGTTTTAGCATATACAATGGGGGGAGTGACTAGTAGAAAGACCACATGGATGCTTCCCTGAAAAGTCTTTAAATAAAAACGTTGCTTTAGCATTTTTACTATTACCCCAAACCAGAAAAGTACGCTAAAAACTCCTAATTAATTTAATTTATAGCTTCCTTTCAAGCTGTATTCTCCCCAATGTCTAAACAACATTCCTGATGATGCTCAGAAATCCCTAGGATGAGATCTGTGTTGGAATCGCTTTTTATAAAATTTTTCTTTTTTTTATTCCTTGGAAATTCTTTGGCACTAGGGATATCAAAACGTCTTTCTCTAAGCAGTATAAAACAAAATAATTATTACTGAATAACAGGTTCATGAATGATGTGCCAGAGTGTAAGAGGTAATATGTGAGGGGAATATTTGCCAAAAGTGATGACTCATAGTTCTTCTATTGTCTTCTCCTTTTGTTAATCGATCTCGGAATAATCTTTCTCCCCTGAAATTTGTTTATGTTTCTAAGGGAATGTGCTTCATCTCGTCTTGAATTGGATACTTTAACTTGCTTCAGTTGGAAATTAACCTGGAAGAAAGATAGACGTATGAACGCCAGACTTACACAGAATGTGTAGTTTAACATTTTTTACTTTTTCATATTATTTTTAAAAAAAATTTATGTATTTTTTTGCACATTTTCTTTTTTAATGTATTTAATTTATTAGTGGTAATTAATACTTATAGTTTTCAGAATATTATAGCTGCTACTAATATAAGTTTTGATATTACATACAATTATTAATATTTAAAGCAGCACTGTCTCTTTTTCATAAGGCAGACGAAAAACCCTTGAATGTCTGACCTGATTTTTTTTTTTTTTTCACATGGTGTTCTATGGACAGAGCTTCTGTAACCATATTCTGCCTTTACCCATCAGTAAAAGATTTGTGTGATACATATGAGTTGCTATGACAACTCATTTGGGGAGTACATCTCATTTTGGGAGTACATCTGCTAAAGGGTGTATGTAGAAAGATGACAACTCATTTTCGGAGTACATCTGCTAAAGGGTGTATGTAGGAAGATGTACTGGAATAGATGTAGTCAGGGCCCGCCTGGGGGAAAAAAAATTGACCTAGCACTTTTTTTTTTTTTTATCACAGTGGCCCCATGGGAATGAGGCGGTGCCACAAACAGGGGTTGTTGTGTCACCATCAATGACAAGCATGCCCCCTAAAAGTAAGCATGTTGGTTCAATGCTCTTCCAGGAAAGCCCGTGTGCAGAGCTCAGCTGAAGAGCTCTCACATTAGATAAATGTCCTGTTTTTGTTCTGTGCAGAGCGGGCTAATTTAATGACATGTTGGTGCTGCATTTGCTTGTTAGTTGTCTGTCTTCATATGTGGGATTCCAGAGGACAAAAGACACCCCATGCTCACTGTGCCTAGTGGGATAATGGCTACACTTTTGCAGACGAGGCCCAAAGAAGGTTGGAACGATTGTCCAGGGTTGCTGTATGTCTCATGCTTATGAGTAGGATCATTTTGATATGCAATGGTATAAGTTCTCTCTGTAATGTCACAAGTGAACAAAAACTATTTGGAGACTTAAGCGGGCATTTATCAAAGGGCAAGCTATTGAGTTTCCATCTGGAATTCTGGCTGTGCTAGATTGTGGGGTCTTCCATAGACCTCCGTTTCATCATTTCGTGCATAAACAAGAGTTTCATTGTGAAAGAAGCTCCAGACAAATTAAGCTATTATGAGTTGGAGACCTAGACGAAGAAGAACATGCCAGAAGTTCAGGTAATTGTGTGAGCCTTTCCCCTCTTTGCCTTGGCACCGCCTGGTTATCACACATATTACCATGTTGCACCCCTGGTCCTACACATTTTGTTATGAAACCCACAATAACCATAGATGGGTTTCACACGGGTTTAGTCAACGATGAGCCCAGCCATAATAGGAATCGCATTGTATGTATATGCCAGTAGCTGATTGAGTAAGAGTTGGCTAGAAATAGGAAACTTGCATATTTCCACTAGATGTCATACTGTAAGCCCTAATATCATTTTTGCTGAGCATCATTATTCCCATCAACAGATGGAGGGAGGCCCTTCACTGGTAGGCATGCCTGGTAATTAGAGGCTATCTTTATATTTCTTATTGCAGTGAGAGCAAACTGTGGTACAGCTGAGCAACCTGGAAATGTAGTTGTTTTGAACTTAACCATCACAATTTAATTTTTTCAGTGAATGATGAGCACGGATTAAGAAATTTTAGGTTACTGTAACTTACCACTGCTGGTTCAGATGGACCGACTGTTACGGTTGTGGTCTTTGCATAATATCCATCCGCTGAAGCTGTCACGCTGTATGTTTCGGGCAACAACAACCGGAAATAATCACCGCCTTTACCTACACACACACACACACACACAAAAAAATCCAGCACATGTAGATATTATAGCACAATAAAACAAATGTAAAACTTTTTTATACACGTTCCAAAGTACACCGCTTCCTACCTACATTCAGGTCTCTAATAAAGGGGTGGTCTGAGGTAGGTGACCGGGTTCTTTGATAGCTGAGGCTCTACAGTTCGGCCACTTCTGATCTTAGATACTAGGAAGTCTGTGATGCACTATATCATGTACTTGTAACTAAAGGACTCAACGTATTGATCAGAAAACCTGTATTCAATCAGAGTTTAACATTAAGAATAAGAACAGGCAAATGACTGAACAGTAAAAAAACACAAACCAAAACCCCTTCCAACTGGCCAAATCTGCGCTTCATACCATGAGTGATGGCTACATACATACATAGGTTTTAAGTCCTTGCCAAAGGTATGTAAGAGTACAGGGCCAGTCAGGGGTTGCCTCACAAAACACAGAAAACATAAAAAAAATGGGGGGGAAAGGAGACAGTGACAATTAGAGGAAAAGGGACAGACATGAGCAAATCTCTCTCTCTGTCTCTTTCTCACATACACATTAATGCATTCACCAAAACTCCCACAGTGACTTGGAATAGAAAATAATATGAGATTGTGCTTCATACAACTAAAACCAGCTTCCTTCCTACAAGTAGGCAAGGTTTGCCTTCCGTACCAGGGCTCAGTTATACTTGCTAATGGCAACTGGCAGAGTGAACAATTTGAGCGTTTGGGAGGAGGTGTAAGTATAAGTACTGCATTAGTAGGGTTAATGCAAAAGCAGGAGAAAGAGGAGGTTAACATGAGATTTGCATGGGGTAATTAGGAGATGTGCAGTGGAAAATATATAATTTAGTATGGTATTATGGCTGCCCTCATAAAAGATACATTTGTATTTTAGAATGTGTCTAAGCATCATATTAATAGCTGCAAACATTGTATTGAGAAACCCACAGACGTTTAAGAAGTATAAGTGCTTTTACACACTTGAGACTGGCAAGGTTTCATGGGTGTTGTAGTTTCTACAACAGCTGGGGATCTACTTTTTGGGCACTTCAGATACACTGAGGATTTTTATCTCCTATTTCTTTTTCCACGTGACTTTAGAAGCTATTGAGGATGTCTTTGTATATTTACTCGTTATTGGATCTGATGTAAATTATTTTGTTGTGAGATGATCCTCGTCACAGTTTCCATTCGTAACCATTTGCGTGTTTACTTGACAATTGGAAATTGAACTAAATAAGACTTGGCTTTCTTTGAACTGAGCTTTGGGGAACTTTTGAGGAACTAAAACTAATCTGTTCAGATCTGCCAAGTTTAGAAGAATTGTGGCCAAGACTCCCTCTGAGTATTAGCAATCTGACATGATTGCTGAAATGTGAGGTTTGGTGTATAAAACGTTTTGGACCGTATTTATAAACCAGGTATTTATTTTGATATCCATAACGGGCAATCGCCATAGGAACCATTTGAATGTCTCTGCACATTTAACCCTTTGCCTCATACCTGCACTTGGTTGCATTGATGTCTTGTTATAAGTAATATTTGATTTTCTTTCTATTATTGTAAACACAAAATGTATAAAAAATACAAACCTGGGAATGAACAATTTTAAGAGCTTTTAAGTTACTGCTACAAAGGAATATCAGAAATATATCCGTTACGTATGCGTTTTTGTTACTTACTTGGTAATCCCTTATAAGTTTGGTAAGCACAAACATTTGTGATGATGTAATATCCCTTATCATGCAATCCGTGCATAAGGTGTAGAAAAGTTTTTTGCAGAAAATCAAACATCACTTTTGAAACATAAATTATCGATCTACCTCAGTCTATATTTGTCTTAAAACCAAAACTACAACTATTGGTCTGCTTGGCTATATTGCCACATACAGTTGTAGAACCTACAGCAGTAATGCTACAATGGACTTGGTATAATATTATAGTGCACATGTTTTTTCCCCCAATGCTGTCCTTCATTAAGTTGTATATTGAATATGGCAGGCTCCTATGCATCTCTACTTGTGGACAGATGGGGTCCAGATATCTACCTGCCCAATCAAGATAACTTTTTGTTGTCAGAGTGGACTTGCACATGGGTCAAAAACTAGCATAATGAATGACTATGTAACCAGTTATTTCCTTTGTGCTCCATTTACCCAGTTCTGTATTCTCATTGGTGTAAATATATGTACAATATGTATTACTGTACGCTGTGATCTATATATGCTGGCCTTTTCTACAATAAACTATCTTCTTTAGAATTGCCAAGAAGAAGCTTGTTTGTCTCTTCCTTGAGGTCTCTCAGGTAGATTGCTGTTCATTGTTCTCTTTAGTGTAGTTACTAATAAGACTGTTAAAGGGACACTATAGTCACCCAGACCACTTCAGCTCAATGAAGTGGTCAGGGTGCCAGGTCCCTCAGGTTTTAATCCTTCCGATGCAAACATAGCAGTTTCAGAGAAACTGCTATGTTTACATTTGGGGTTAATCCAGCCTCTAGTGGCTGTCTTCTGGACAGCCACTAGAGGCGCATCTGTGACGCTGGATGCGAATTTCGTATTCCATCGCGAAGAGAGCCCATAGGAAAGTATTGAGAAATGCTTTCCTATGGACACTTTGAATGGGAGCATGCGCATTCGGCTCCACTGACGACGGATGGGGAGGAGAGGTCACCAGCGCAGAGGGAGCCCGGCACTGGATTAAAGTAAGTAAAGCGCCAAGGGAGGGGGGACCCTGAGGGTGGAGGCACCCTCAGGGCACTCTAGTGTCAGGAAAACCGCTTTGTTTTCCTGACACTATAGTGATCCTTTAATATGGGCTGTCCAACACCATAAAATGAGTGACTTAAAATGAATAAATCATATAAACAAGTGGTGTGAGTGCTCCTGTTTTTATAAAAACATAACATGAATACGAATTAAATAGCAAATATAACTTTAATAAATAAAACACGGACTAGATACATTCAAACTCCAAAACTAGAAAAATTAGGATTAGATACTGATCTAAATTAGGATTAGATACTGATCTACATAAAGCCTGTGAGACTATAATGCCGTAAATAACAACTATAGTCACAGTGTAACTAATGTAGAAAAGGAACAGATAAGATAGAGATTGTATCTAAACCTGAATTGGAAACACAGATACACAGGCTTTATGTAGATTAGTATCTAATCCTTACAGTAATATATTGTCCTTTTGGAGTTTGACTGTATCTAGTCCATGTTTTAATTTATTAAAGCTATAGTTGCTACTGAATTCTTATTCATATTATGTTTTTATACCAGGAGCGTTCACACAACTTGTTTATATAGTTACTAATAAGAGTATTGTCAGAGGACTAGATGCATAGAACATTCTATAGTAACCAGATAGTAAACTAGAAACCTAAGCCCTAGGACTGAGTGGTGCGGTTAGTGTGCAGGTGATGTAAAAGAAACTCGGGGACGAAAGCATGCCTGAACTGGTACACCTTCAGTGCCAGAGATGCCAGGGTCATATCGTCACATATAGACCGAATTAGTAGGGAAGAGTTACATTCACTTAATTTATTGTTTCAAACTGTGTAAACTGTATCTGTAGGAATTAGTGATTTCTTCCTGTCTATCAGATTTATTCACTAATTTGAGAATTCAACGTGAATTTCAAATTATTATTATTATTATTTTTAAAAATTCTTTATTTTGTGGGTATTCAAGAAGAAAAATCAGTTTATGACATGTGCATAAAGGAAGTACATGTATGAACTACAAGTAAAATATCCATTATGTAACACTGATAAAAGCACAGGTACTTTTTACACCCTGTTTTGTTTTTGTTTTTTGTAAATCAGGCTAATCCCCCTCATGTTTAATCAAAGGTTGTGCAAGTTAATACCTAGTAGGGTGTAAGTAATATGCGTGGTGTGCCCTGCTGAAAAATGGCAGGGTTCCACACTGTACATGGGTGTACGCACTGGAGGTTAAGAGAGCATGGATATTCTGGCCTGTGGTTGCCCAAGGCCTAATGCGGTGATCTTGTGTAAGGTCTGGAGCTCCAGGTAATGAGACGAACGTGTGTCGAGGTGCTTAAACTAGAGGGTCCGGACCCAGCACGTTCTGGGTAAGGGGGGGGGGGAGATTTTGCTTAGATGGTGTCGTTGGCTGTCCGCTTATGGAGCCAGGTTAGAGAGTGCAACTTTTAAATATAAAACATAAAAACCAGGTGTATAAAACAGGCACATAAAGCCCAAAACTGGGTACTGTGGTGTGAACATTGTGAGAAAAGATAAAGAAGTACAGTAATACAGTAGTATGCGACTGCCAAGCTTAGGTTAGGGAGTCCGCCACTTGTGGCACAGTTCCTCTGGGCACAAAGGGAGTTATTTCTGCGATATTCCAAGATGGGCGGGCATCCAATGTCGTTGCTGTTGCTGAGAGACACAACGCCTGAAGGAAAGTTGGCGCCTCGGATATATGCATCAGGAGGAGCGTCTTGCCGGCATGTTCTGCCATCAAACGTTGAGGACCACATTTATAAGGGATTGAGTTCTCCCGAAGCTGCTGGGTGGAAGGCTCTGCACCATGTAAGGGTGTGTCTTGAAAAGCCCCTATATAATATCAGGCTTGTTCCTTCAAAAGTGATCGTGGGAGAGCCCCTTGCTGCTCCCATAAGGACAAATTTAATTAGCACATCCGGTGGTGCATCCTTGTGCGCCTTAGTAGCTCTGGGGAAAAAAAAGCAGGAATCAATTCCGATCTGCTTAGCTTGCTTAGGTATCAATAAAGTGGCTACGAGCCTTCTACAGTAATGCGGCAGTTCCATGTTTGAGACCGTTTCGAGTATCCCCCGAATCCGCATGTTTCTTGCCTTGGCTTTGTCTTCCAAACTAGCTAGCTGGGCCGTCAGTGTGACACACTGTTTTTGTAAGGATCCCAGGGTTGCGTCTGTGGCCGTTTGTGCCACTCTGGTGCTCCTGTGGGTCTCCTCCACAGACACCATGCAACCAGTGAGTGTAGTGATTTTGCCTCGGACAAGTGCAATGTCGGCGTCAAACATCGCCTTAATATTCTGCATCAGCGCTTTTGTGGAAGGAGCTGCGTCTCCTAGGTTTTATGACTGCTGGGGCATACTTTATACCTTGGAGGGTGCAGGTATTGAATCAGGTAAGCTGTCGTCATCCGGCGACTGTGAAGTGTAGGCTGCAATCGGCGCCATTCTTGACAGGCTCATGCCACTGGGTCGGGCGCATAAAAGCGCCAATATCTTTTGATCTGGAGCCGGGATCTGCTCTGTGCTTCTTTGTCTTTGTCTTTTTCCCCATGGTATAGGGTTCTCAGGGGACCTCTCTCGGGACCCAGAGGTTAGTTTTTGGCTCTAATATATCCATTTTATCAAGTCCGGCGCTCGGAGCTAAGGTAGGCTGCGACTTGCTCGTTCAGGTGCTGGCTCGGCCGCCCAGTGAATTTCAAATTTAAGGGCCACATATTCAAATAGATATGAAATTCACTTTGTAATCTCAATTTATCAAATAACCCTGTTAGTGTTTCTGATCACCAAGTCGACAATTCTGCAATTTACCACATCAACAATTTTTCATTAAAGGGGTCTTTAAACACATTTCTGAGCATTAGGTTTGTATTCATGTGATTCACATCCATGTCATTAGGGGATTTTTGGTGTTCTGAGAAAATAGTATTTTTTTTTTCCTCTTTAATTTCAGTTTTGTCTCACTTCAGAGAGCATATGGTGGTGACCGTTGGTTTGCCGAAGATGAGGGTTAAAGATCTATTTTTAATATTATTTTGTTCTGAGCTCCGTGATTATGCAATCTACTGAACTGTAAAAAGTAATGAAATAAGTGATTCCATGCTTATTGTTCATACGTTCTCCTTTTAAGGGAATTGATAGAGTAGGTTATTTTCTGTGTTTCCAATTCTCAGTAAATTTAATTATTGAGTTTGATTTACATTTTAATAATTAAATAACCTATTTCTGGCAGTGCTACACGAGGTTTAGAACTTATTTTCTCCTTGCTTGCCCTTTAATGAGTACCTTTTCGATAGACTGTCAGTGTATAGATTTATATAAAAATGCAAAGCATTTTTGGGTGCAGTAAAGTGCTCAATTAATAATGAATTAAAGGGAACTGTCATTTTCCTGTATTTTTTACAATTTTTTTTAAAATGTATTTTGTATTTTTGTGGGTGGTACAATGTCATGACAATATGACGTAGCAGTAAAAATCAAAGAATGGACAGACGTCATGTAAATGCACCCATTTTACAAATATTAAACACCAATTCTCAAGATAAAGTTATAATATCCATGAAAGAAGGGTGTACATTCATAAGAATATACAGCATAGGGACAATCAGATGGCTAGCCTATGGTGCAAAAAGACCTAAAAATGTCCATGATGAATACAGCGAGAGGGCTTCAAGGCAAGGAAGTACCCCTAAAGGGGTAAAGAGGCGGATAAATATGACCTAGACGGGGGCGGAGCCTAGCTACTGAATGGAGCAGACACGTGGTGCCAGGGCTCCCGACTTTAAGCTGATTTTGAGGCATTTATCCCGACAACTAAGCGACTACACCTTGCCCACAAGTATCTCTTGAGACCCGATGCGGCCTACCATGGACGGGGCAAGGGAGAAGTGGCCGATCTCCTTCAGCTTCAGTTTTCTAGCCTGCAGAGGCAGTTCTACTAAGCCACAGCCTCCTCCTGGAACAGCGCGGGATATCTTGGTCGCCACTGGGTGATTTGGCATTTGCTATATAGCGTTTACCTTGTGCCGCAAGCTCACCGCACACCACAGGGATCTGAGGGCAAGATGACCCAAATTTTTCAAGCTGCACAACATCTCTATCACTGAAGGGCATCAGCTGACCCATCTGTGATAATGGCAAAGGCATATCGCAATCTTCATTAGCCACTGGACTTGACTTACTATTCTTAGTCCCTCCGAAGCTGTAGTCTTGCTCTTATGTTTTTACTTTATCTAGACCTGCTGCCTTCTATTTTTATTATTACTTTCTTGTTCCTCATACCCCTTTCTTTGAATGCAAGCCATAACCAGGTAGTATAAAACAGAATCTTTTTCATCATGTTAACAATAGCTTTCATATACTATCCATGTCTAGATACCTTTCTCAGTTTCACAAGCTTAGGAATACTTACCATCTTCGACATGTATGCATAGCTTAGGGCCCCCCTCCCGTGGTGCTGAAGGGGTTAAAACCCCTTCAGCAGCTTACCTTATTCCAGCGCCGGGCTCCCTCGGCGCTGGTGACCTCTCCTCACCTGCCAATGTCAGCAGAGCCGAATGCGCATGCGCGGCAAGTGCCGCGCGCGCATTCAAAGTGTCCATAGGAAAGCATTTCTCAATGCTTTCCTATGGAAGCTCTGCGCGATGGAGGCATAATATGCCTCCAGCGTCGGAGATGCGCCTATAGTGGCTGTCCGGAAGACAGCCACTAGAGGCTGGCTTAACCCCAAATGTAAACATAGCAGTTTCTGTGAAACTGCTATGTTTGCATCTGAAGGGTTAAAACCTGAGGGACCTCGCACCAAGACCACTTCATTGAGCTGAAGTGGTCTGGGTGACTATAGTGTCCCTTTAATTTGACTGTGCCAAGACTGAACTGGATTGTGATGTTGACTGCTAAATATTTAATAGACCTGTAAAAGAAAATGGAGCATCACATGAAAAGGGTTAACACAAGTTATAAGGGAGTTTCAATGTATTAATTAAGAATGGCGTATCCAGAAAAGTAATGTTTCCATAATGCAGTTTGCTGTATTCCTTTTTCAGTGTTTTCTTTCTTAAAATAAGGTGTCTAACATCATCCCAAAGCTCTTATTCTAAACTGGCTAGAAAGAAAGTGAGTCACACCTCAGCTACATTAAACTTCTCTGTGCAGCATTTCATACTGAAGCTCTGCACATACCTATGGGGTCCTTCCACCAAAGGAAGTGAAGTGATCATGGTGCTTGGAGAATCTTTAAAATTTCAAATTCTGGGTCAGCTTTGAGAATATCCCCATCAGACAATAATTCCCATAATTCTTTCCTAGACACCTTACAATATTACTGTGTCCTGTCTTTCTAGGTCTGTCATTGGAAACAATTAAGAAAATAATTCTTCCCCCTTCGCTCCTGTCTCTCTCTCAACCACACTTGGTTCCCTTTTATTTTCTCTTTATACTACTTTTTTTGGCAAACTTATTAATTCCTTTCTATTTAACTTCCACCTGTATGCCAATGATACCCATATATATCCACTCCACTGATTTCGTCGCTGCTCTCCATGAAAGCATCATCTGTTGCCTTTCTTCCATCTCTGATTGGATGTTCTACCACTTTGTGAAACTCAATCTCTCTAAAACTGAGCTTTTTATTTTTCCTCCTCTTTCGCTCTCCATGCAAGTTCGCTGTCTTGGCGTTATCTTTGATTCTGGCCTCTCCTTTGCCCCTAATGTCCACTCTGTTGCCAAATCCTGCAATTTCCACCTTAGAAACCTTGCTTGCATCTGCCCATTTCTTACACAAGATACTGCCAAGGAACTTATTCATGCTCTTGTAATCTCTTGCATTGTAATTCATTAATTGGTCTCCTCAGAAAATGTACTGTCTCACTATAGCTGCAATAAATGCTGCCACCAGGCTGATTTTTCTTTCTCCCGTCTCTCCTCTCACACCTTGCTCCTCTGTCAGTCCTTACATTGACTTCCTGTACCCTAACCCTTACCTATAAAGCTCTAAACCACTCTAGCCCATGCTATATTTCTTCACTCATCCGTAGTTATGCCCCTTCTCAATCTCTATGATCTACAGGTGACCTTCTCCTGTCCACTGCTCGCACCCTTACTGCTAACTTCAGCTTGCAAGGCTTCTTGCAGGAGACTCCTTTTCTTTTGAACAACCTGCCTACTTCCATCAGATTCTCACCAGTCTTAAATGATTTACGAAGTCCCTCAAAACCCATGTCTCCAGAAAAGTTTATGGCCTCCCAGAGTAACTTTTATTTCAAAACCTGTCTCTTGCTGTCTCCTAAAGGGCAGCACTCTACTCTCTCCTCCCGCTTTGCTTCACTCCCACCTTATTTGATTGCTATTTCCTGTCCTAATGTGTGTTATACCCCAGCTCCAATAGACTGTAAGCTCGTTTGAGCAGGGTCCTCTTCAACCTATCGTTCCTGTAAGTTTTCTTGTAATTGTCCTATTTATAGTTAAACCCCCCTCCCCCTCATAATATTGTAAAGCTCTGCAGAATCTGTTGACGCTATATAAATGGCAATAATAATAATAATAACCTGGCCCTTTCATAAGCCTGGCTCTTGCTCTCTCCACTCCACTGTCACCTTCCAATTCTGCTACTTTCTCACCTCATTGCTTGGTTGCTACCCCCCTCAATGCCCTAGCTGTTTTGTTTTTATATCCCACCTCTTGTAGATTATAAGCTTGTTTGTCCTCCTCAACCTATTATTCCTGTAACATTTTGTAATTATCTAATTTATAAAATTTTCCCCTTTACAATATTGTAAAGTGCTGCGGAAAAAGTTGGGTCTATATAAATGCCAATAATAATAACTACATCAAAAGATGGAGTTACACCTCTTTAAAGTGTGTTTTTTGTTTGTTTGTTTTTTGTCTCCCACTATGTAAATTTTTAAGTGTGTTAATCAGGGAATAAGCTCCCAGTGGGTAAGGATTCTATCACATCGGGTTAAATGGGTAGATCCCAGCAAATCAATGGGTAGAGTCAAATTCTGGGCATAGCGCCTAGTCCCTTACCATCTTTAAACTTCACCAGCCATCTTTACTATGTTCGTCTGCCAGTCCTCTATCTGTGCACCTTATTATCCAGTTTTATATTCCCCTCTTGCCCTTTTTTTGTTTTCCAGTTCTTTCCTATCCATCTCATCTGGTTTTTGTTCCCCTCCACTCTCTGATTTTTAGTCAAAATTGTAATCAAGAGATTGTGGCTCCTTATTGCAGTATTGATTAAAGCCCTGTGACCAAATCTGGTTCCTGGTGGCCAGCAACAACTGGTGTGTATGTGTGTGTGCATTTCTCTAATATTATATTAGTTTAGAATTATTTTTTTCATATTTTATTTTGAATTGGATCACTATGCCCAAATTAAAATGGGACATAAACTTACCAGACGTGACATCGTGATTAATGCCGCTCACAGAGATTACCGCATTAGCTATTCCATTGTTATTTTCATCTGTTACAATGCCTTTAATTCCCTGGTGAACCTAGAATATCAATCAGGAAACAAATTGTAAATCATTGTAGGAGACGTTTATTCAATAAACCGTGACTTGTAGTAAACTGAAAACACACTTGCAAAAGTTAGACTGATGTAGAAAGTTAGGCTGATGATGGCTGAAACGGAGATGAAAAATTTATCCAGATTGGATAATAAAAACTAAATGTGCAATTTTGTTTACAAGCATTCTCATGCATTTGTTTTTGGACAAATGTGAATTGAACCGAATATAGAGCAATTCATTAATTTGTCAGAAACACAAATGAACAAATTGAATTATAAACGAACTACATGGAAACAGAATTGCTTGTTGGACAGAATTAGTCCAGGCAATGCTTTATTTGTAGGTAGCTATCCGATCCCCCAATATTAAAACAATTCCCCTATCTCACAATAGATTGGGGGAATGAAGTAGACTTCAATGGGTGAGGGGCATAGAAGGAAAACTACACCAGCTCTCCCCATTATTGTACTAATCAGCCCCCCCACTCCCCGAGGAATTTTGGGAAGGAAGTGGTGGAAAGCTATGCTCACTAGCGCTTCTGTTTTTCACCCCTCACTCAGCAGCAATGATGATGATTGAGAGGTTAAAAATTTCACTGGCTTGTCAAATTTTGCTTGCAAACAAAAAAATTGCAAATGAAATTGGGACAAACCAAATCAATTTTGTTTCTTATGATAAACTTAATTTTCTGTCTGTTCACAAGGGTATTTAAGTAAACACATTTAATTTTTAGTTTTAAAAAAATACACATCTTCTGCCACTGTGGACGCCTCCTACGTCACATGATGTATATCATGAGATATAGCAGCCATTTTGTCAACTCATATCTGCAATGTTACATGTATGGTCTTCCCTATTTGAATCACTGTGATGACCCCTCAACTTAAAACAAATATAAAATATAAATCTGTGTACACTTTCCATAACCTTTACTGTTAATAGCATACTATTGATGAGATAGTATGGTGTATAGAGCTCCCGGCGCAGTTTCTCTGCATTATTTTTCAAATTTCCACAAAGTTAACTCAGTCATGTACCCATTGACTCTCTGACTGTTCTTTCCAAGTTCAATATAATGAGTACTGGTAAGATGGACAATAATATATTTAACCCCCAATAATACGTAAAACAAGCAAAAAAAAAATAAAGACTACAGTTCACCTTTTCTGGTTAAAGGAACGATATAATGTTAGAAGTATTTAAAGGGACACTATACAGGTTTGTATTCTATATACTGTACGGATTTAATTGGTTTACACACTCTGAGCCTTGGGATTCAGGATTTTTTCCCATTCATCATACTTTAAATGTTTAAAGTAGATCAAACAAAATAATGTTTAATTGTAACAACTTTACATCGTTACATGCATTGCATATTCTAAGCCTTATTCTGTATAATAAGGCAAACTGGGAAATATGACCACCCCTCCATCCTTTGATTGGTAAGGTAATTAAATGAATAGAAGCAATGTTAATACACTCAGAGACATTTACAATATGTTGTGTGTGGACGAAATAATCATTGTTTAGATTTATGTTTTGTATCCATGTACGTAGGTATAGGAGTGTGTGTGTGTTAGGTCTATTGCCTCCTTTGCAGTCACATTCCGTGTAAGACATGTTGGCGCTGTGACAGCTTGCTTTGGCATGTAATAGGCCTCCCCACGTTACTGTATGTCCTAAACAGGTTCCATATCAGATATAAATCTGACTTTAATAATCTGGCATTAATGATCTGCTCTGTTAAGGCATGATTATACAGTTTACTACGTGACACGTCTCTAAGTGTCGTCAGTGCAGTTTTAAAGCCTATAAAACCAGGTGCATCACTGAGCCAGGTCTGTTCGATGTTTGCTGCTCTGCAGAATATGGAAGGTGAAGCTGAAAAAGCAACAAGGTTTGTACTGTGTTCAGTTAATGTTTCCTGAGTTTGGCACAGGCCATGGATGTATAAGCTCAGTGTTGGACTCTCTATTGGTTCCCCTGTTCTAGTTGTATGTTGTAAATATATATTCTCAAACAGATAACTCTTAGAGGTTGGTGGGGGGGGGAGTAACAACCTAATTTACCGGAAAGAAATTTCCTCTTGCCATAGGCGTTTCCATGGATGTTTTTGCTTTTGGGTAATTTTTTATGTATAGAGCCATTTCATTAGTTGAAAAATGTAATTTAAATCTGAGTTCTAGATCCAATGAATGGTGCATTACGTTGTTTTGGGTTGATCTATATAACTAATGCCCTAATAATAATAACAAAGTATTTAACCAGGAAAGGTACATTCAGACTTCTCTGGTTTTCAAGTAGATCCTGGGAGATGTCACCTTAACCCAACATCCAGGGGTTACTACTGAATTTAATGGTCCTCATTTTATTTACCTGGGAAGGATGAAGGGCTGAGTCAACCCTGCCATGATTTGAACCTGCAATCTGTTACAACACCTATTTTTATTTTCCTTATTGGCATTATAGGTGTAAAGGCAATATTAAATAACATTGAGATTTTAATTATACAATTACAATGTTACTGCAGATTTTAAAAAGCTATGTGCAATAAATGCCCACCCAGTAGGTTTGTTCAGTTGAGGGTTTCCACAGCCCCCCACCCTCAGTTTTACGTTGCATTAAAGAAAGTCAGACCTTTTGAAGTGGTGCTTGTTGTTTCCTACATATGTGTATGTATAGGTTTATGATGATGTAGAGGGGATTTGATGTCTAATACAATGTCATAAACTAAAATTTTGTGATAAAACATTTTTATTAAAACCAGGGTTTGACAAATTTGCTTGGATTCTAGGAGCCACCTGCATGCTCCCTCGCTGGGTGGACTCCATTCACCTTCGGCCGCATCTGTTGAAAGAGGATGGACTCATCCCAGGTGCCTGGAATTTGTCTAGCCCTGATTAAAACTATAAAAAAAATAGGGAGAAAAATTCCCTCTCAACCCAGCACCAAGGCCACGCTCTCCTAGTTGTCAATGTGCCATGTACCCATTGACTGTCTGACGCCAGGATGTCATAGAATTGACATTGGCCAGTCTTATTCTGGGCTGGCTAATTACTCTACGGCTCTGCTGGAGGTGATGTAACCTCGGGAAAGAAATTGCATTTCTCTGTATGTGCAAAGTTTCATAGTCCCACAGAGTATTTTCAGCATGGATTTATTGGTGGTTGTTGAATCACTTTGAGGAGTGTTAGATCTACTTCTTTTACTATCCTTGGAGTTATTTACTAGTTTGGTGGAACTAGAGATTCCATTGTATCTTCTCTTCTAGTAAATGGGTTTTAGTTGTAATCCTTTCATCCAAAAGGTTCTCCAAACATTCTTTACTATTAACTAAACCTGGCTGCCCTTCTGTGGATACTTAACATAACTAATGCAGGTACAGACAGACAAGATTAGAAATTCATTAGACAGCATTTACCTCTTCGATGTACGTGATGAGAGCTTCACGGTTTCCAAACCACTCTCTCTCAAGTTCTTCTGGTCGTGGAAACTTGTTACAGCTCAGCTCCAAAGTGATTTCAAAGCAGTTTGTGTAAAGGTAATTAAAGTCCTGCATACCTGTTACAATATCCAGACATCTATTACATCACTGGGTTACACTGAACAACAATTTGAAATATACTGTAGCTTGTCAGCATTACATAATACATAGTTGAATTTGCAAAGAGCTGCTATTAGTTTTGCAATAAAACCCGAAAGTTGTATAGAAGACAGTTGCAAATGAGGATAGGTCAAAAACAAAACAAATAATAATACAGGTGTTCGTGATGCAAAGGAAAGGTTTTGGGGAGTTGCAGTAGAGCTGGTCTTTCTACAGTAAAAAATGGATAATTTAACTAAAACTCTGACACACATGCTGTGCAGTGGTGTATCCTGGTTTTGTGCTGCCCTAGGCAGGACAAAACTCAGGCGCCCCCCTCCCCCCCGCGCCACCCCCACCCAACACTTCCCCCCGCCCCACCTTCTAAATACACACACACACAGTCAGACACATACACAAACACACACACACACACAGTCAGACACAAACACACACACACACACAGTCAGACACACACACAAACAGTCAGACACAAACACACACACATACACAGTCAGACACACACACACACACACACACACAGTCAGACACACACACAGTCAGACACACAAACACACACATACAGTCAAACACATACACAGTCAGACACAAACACACATACACATTCAGACACACACACACACAGTCAGACACACACACACACAGTCAGACACACACACACATACACAGTCAGACACAAACACACACACACAGTCAGACACAAACACACACACAAACACACACAGACACACACATACACAGACACAAACACAGTCAGACACAAACACACACACACACACATTAACTTTTTTTTAAATTTAAATCCCCCCCCAACCTCCTTACCTTTGGGAGTGCTGGGGGGGGGGGTCTCTCTCCCTGGTGGTCCAGTGGCTGCAGGGCGGGCGGCGCTGGCAGGCCGGCCGGCCGGCCGGCGAGGGAGCACTTCCCATGAGCTGACTGCTCAGCTCCCTCGCGCGTCGGCTGCAGAGTGAGGCTGGGAGCCGGAAGATGACGTCATCTTCCGGCTCCCAGCCTCACTTTGCGGTGCGCGAGGGAGCTGAGCAGTCAGCTCATGGGAAGAGCTCCCTCGCCGGCCGGCCGCCCGCCTGCCAGCGCCGCCCGCCTGCCAGCGCCGCCCGCCTGCCAGCGCCGCCCGCCCGCTCGGGATGTCAGTTAGCCGCAAGGCTAACTAGGCATCTGCCCTGGGCATTTGGGGGGCGGCGTTTTTTGCCGCCCCCTGAAAAATGCCGCCCAAGGCAAATGCCTTGTTTGCCTTGCGGCTAATACGCCCCTGATGCTGTGCCAATTTATCACAACTAATTGTGCACCATTTTGTAAGCTAAGTTTACAGAAGCTGCAAAGTATTGTTTTTGCACAATTCTTAATTAATTAATGTATAATACGGCAGCCTAGAGAATCCTTTTTTAAAAGGAACACTCCAAGCACAAGAATAAGAAAAGGATATGCTATATGAATGCTAAGGCAGGGTCCTGTTTACTCATAGAAACATAGAATGTGACGGCAGATAAGAACCATTTGACCCATCTAGTCTGCCCAATTTTTAAAATACTTTCATTAGTTAATGGCCTTATCTTATAGTTAGGATAGCCTTATGCCTATCCCATGCATGCTTAAACTCCTTTTACTGTGTTAACCTCTACCACTTCAGCTGGAAGGCTATTCCATGCTTCCACTACCCTCTCAGTAAAGTAATACTTCCTGATATTATTTTTAAACCTTTGTCCCTCTAATTTAAGACCATGTCCTCTTGTTGTGGTAGTTTTTCTTCTTTTAAATATAGTCTCCTCCTTTACTGTGTTGATTCCCTTTATGCTTTTAAATGTTTCTATCATATCCCCATGTCTCGTCTTTCCTCCAAGCTATACATGTTAAGTTCCTTTAAAGGACCACTCTAGGCACCCAGACCACTTCAGCTTAATGAAGTGGTCTGGGTGCCAGGTCCAGCTAGGGTTAACCCATTGTTTTATAAACATGCAGTTTCAGAGAAACTGCTATGTTTATCAATGTTAAGCCTTCCCCAAAAACCTAGAAACGCTTGCGTGCTCACTGTGATTTTCACAGTGAGAGCACTCAGCCACAGAAAGCATTGATAATGCTTTCCTATGCGACGGCTGAATGTGCGCAGCTCTTGCCGCGCGTGCATTCATCCGACGCCGGAGGCGAGAGGAGGGGAGAGGAGGCAGAGAGCTCCCCGCCCAGAGCTGGAAAAAGGTAAGTTTTTAACCCTTTCCCCTTCCAGAGCTGGGCGGGAGGGGGTCCCTGAGGGTGGGGGCACCCTCAGGGCACTATAGTGCCAGGAAAACGAGTATGTTTTCCTGGCACTATAGTGGTCCTTTAACCTTTTCTTGTAAGTTTTATCCTGCAATCCATGAACCAGTTTAGTAGCCCCTCTCTGAACTCTCTCTAAAGTATCAATATCCTTCTGGAGATACGGTCTCCACTACTGTGTACAATACTCCAAGTGAGGTCTCACCAGTGTTCTGTACAATGGCATGAGCACTTCCCTCTTTCTACTGCTAATACCTCTCCCTATACAACCAAGCATTCTGCTAGCAGTTCCTCCTGCTCTATTACATTATCTGCCTACTTTTAAGTCATCAGAAATAATCACCCCTAAATCCCTTTACTCAGATGTTGAGGTTAGGACCCTATCAAATATTCTGTACTCTGCCCTTGGGTTTTTATGTCCAAGATGCATTGCACTTATCCACATTAAATGTCAGTTGCCACAACTCTGACCATTTTTCTACTTTACCTAAATCATTTGCCATTTGGCTTATCCCTCCTGGAACATCAACCCTGTTACATATCTTAGTATTATCAGCAAAAAGACATACCTTACCATCAAGACCTTCTGCAATATCACTAATAAAAATATTAAAGAGAATGGGTCCAAGTACAGATCCCTGAGGTACCCCACTGGTGACAAGCCCAAGCTTTGCATATATTCCATTAACTACAATCCTCTGTTACCTGTCACTCAGCCACTGCCTTACCTATTCATTACTCATAAGGATACTCCAGGCTTTACCATTTTTTTCATGACTTTTGTATATAATGTGTTTAAAATATACCAGAGTTTCCCATTTCCTGCAAATCCCCATTGCTTCATATTCTGCAGCGAGCTCTGCCAAAACCAGGAAGTGACTCAGCCAATCACAGTGCTCACTTTGCATTCCATATCACTACCAAGCTTATTGCACAAGCATGTTTATGAGCACAGCTATGATTTCCAGTGTAGAAAGGTAATAGCTGAACTACAACTCCGTTATCCTGTCCAGGGTGTATTTTCCAGTTTTAGGAAGGACTTTACCTTTTCCCCTGTCACTTTGTTGGGTTCCCCTGTCCCTCTTTTTAAAATGCTTTAAATATATGGTGTGTATGAGCATATAAGAAAGCTTTAATGCCATAAAACTCTTGGTGATGTGTCTTTAAGCTACAATAAATGAACTACCATAAATGTGCTTAGAAATCACTCTGTATAAATAAGATACGTCTGTTCTTGTTTTAAATTACATTTTCAGTTGCATAAAAAAGATTAACAGTGAAAGCTAATATCCCCACTTCTGATCTAGACACAACACCTATAATGAAAAATGCCTTTATTGTCCTTTGAAATTTTAGGAGTGATGAGCAGAAAGGGTGAGTTTATGGAGCAAAACGCATTAATAAAAAAATAACCAAACACCCATCGTAAGAACTGTAACTTAACGTAAACATAAAACCTAAACCATACTCGTGTTTGTAATTAATAATTGAAAGTGAACAAATATATTTTTCATTTTTAAATGTAGACATATTTTAAGAATCCGATTTAAGAGTGAGGCCCAAGCTATTTATTTTACAGACACAGAAGTAATCTCTTTTAATGGTTTGAAATATCTGACTTGTTTTCGCCTGGTAAACTGTGAAAAATCCATTTATTTCTTTTAAGACATGCTAAATATGATAAAGAAGACTAACACGTGTTAGTAATTTAATTCACAAAGGCATGCAATTCATCTCTCTGGCACTGAAGCTAATCAAGAACATCAGTAATGGTATAATAATAGCCCACCCTTTTAGATTTACAAATGTGTTTTCTTATCACTGTAAATCTCTTTACTTTTTTCCTAATCACACTTCAAATGCCAGGAATTGTTGTAGAGGGTTGATGTACTGCTTCTAAAAATCTTAGAATTTTTATAGTGTAAGAAATATGTTAAATATAGTCAGCTTGCTCAAGGTTTTATAGGGTTTATTCATTAAGCTGGCAACGGTGGAGAACTGACAAGGGAATCAACAATTTGAAAGGGATATGCCAAATACTATGACCACATCAGTGATTTTGAAGGGGTCATGGTGCCTGGAGTATATCCTCTCTGAGTAACTCAACCCTTGGCAGCATCATTGGAATGTCATAAGCCAGCCCGGAACTCTAGAACAGAATTGCATTAATTGGTGGTCAGCTGACACTTTCATCCAATGTATGGAGATGGTTGCGGCTCCTGGTTTCTGTAAGTGCGTTGCTAGACCAGCAGGGAGCATTGGAGCCTGGGTGAACAAAGACAAGGGGGCAAACCTTTGCTAAAGCGTTTGCCCCGCTATGGCGGAAAAGGGCCAGGGTACTCCTCAGATTAGAACTACTACAGTAGGCTATATTGATGATGATAATTGGAGTAACCCTTTTAAGTCATAATGTCTAAAATGAATTCTCTTTCTTGGCTACGTTCGTCTATAAATTGGTAGTGAGTTGCAATACAGAAGGGCACACAAAGAATATTAGAAATTCCTCATTAAAGTAGTTACCACCACAGCATAATGCCCAAGACTACTGTGAACCATGTTACCAAAGTTATTCAAACCCACCATGATAAAAATCAAAAAACAAACGCAAAATTGGCAACCAAAACACTTTACATTAGAAACATACATTTCTATTAAACACTTAATTTTTTTTCCCGTTGTGTAAGGAATATTTTTATATCATGAGTGTGTAGTATTCACCGTTATCTAATAATAGGAAACATATCTACTATATCCATATAATCAGCATTAAAGGAACACTGCAAGCACCATAACCACTTCAGCCCTATGAAGCGGTTGTGGTGCTAGGAGTGCCCTGGCATAGTTTATCATAGTTTAGCAACTTACCTGGGTCCTGCTGAGCGCCCCAGCTGGAGAAGCCAGGTGTCTCTGTAGAATAGCACATAGTAGATGCAGGACCATGCTTATTGGCTTAGAGAGCATTCAACTGATCCTCTCAGCCAATGAGCATAGTCCTGCATGGCATTGCTTTGCTTTATAGACAAATCTGGTCCCTCCTGCTGAAGAAAGATGGATGGGATAGCGCTAGGGCACTCATGGGAGAATAATAAAATAGATAGGTGAGAGCAAACACACAGGGAAAACACAATACTACCACTTTCAACGTTGGTAAATGGCAACACAGTATTGTGTTTTCCCTGTGTGTTTGCTCTCACCTATCTATTTTATTGCTTTACTATTGTTTTGTGTTGTTTGGGTAACCAACACTGGTGATTGTAGCAACACCATTTTTTCTTTATTTAGTCACTGTACTTTATTTGTGTGTACACTCATGGGAGAATGCCTACATACCTCCACAAACTAGAATATGCTGAACCCCTCCAACCCTCTAAACATAGGCCCTCGAGCATATTAAAAACCCAAAGCAAAGGAGCGCCTTAGAGCTTCTCCTCATCTAACAACCCCCTTATCTTGCAGCCCCTCTCAGATATACCACAAATGTTTTATGATGAAAATAAAAAAGGGTGCCATGTTATAGCAATGTCAATGTACAATCTTTTTACCTGCATTTTACAAAATTGCTCTATACCAACCATGTCTTTGCAATGCACCACCAAAATAAAGAATTGTAAAAAAAAGAGAGAATTAAAAAAAATAATGTATTTAAATAGCATATAAGCATTCAATATCATCTAAGATGATCCATGTCTACTAAACAAGAAACTAGTGGAGCCTGTGAGTGTGGTACCCCTGTGGATTGTGTGTGTGTGTGTGTGTATATATATATATAATGTCTTCAATTCTAGCAAAAATTATAGTTTAACAATGAAAGCTTAATTCTCTCCCGATGGGCTTTTGAGATGTTTTTTACTTTTTCTTTTCCTATAATTTGGGATTCCCTTGTCGATTCTCCACAAAGTTAACTTTTTAGTTAACAAACCCATTATTATTGAGCTCACGTTTCAGGTCTCTGCGGTATTTAAAATGCATAACTTTCATCATAGAATCCTAAAAATTTTGCCCAACATTTTTTTAAATTCACTTTGAATTCCTAAGAATTTACATATTTTAATAACCTTAAAAGTGTTTTTTTCCCCTGAAATAATACTGGAGGTTATTTTTTTATAAAAATCAACCAGGTGAATGCTCAATTTCTCAATGAATGCTCATTACACGGATTAGCCCTCACCTTTGCTTAGTGAATACCAGGAAGCTCCATTAGTGATTCCATCTGGGAAATAATCTCCACAATTCAATCCGTGATACATCCAACCATGTGAATAAGAATAGGCTTTAGCAAGCTGTGTAAAAAGGTGAGAAATCAGTAACACCTATAAAGACCAAGGTCAACTACGAAAAGCTCCCATGTATCAAACAAGTTAAAACTATTAATAAATACACGCTCTACAGCTTAACATGTTCAAATCGTCATGTGTTATTGATCAACATAGATTCTTCACGGGTTCTTGGCGCCAATGACTTTCCTCACGAGGATACATTTATCACATGGATCCAGGGAATTTTCTCAATATGAGGGGAATTTAGGAAAAATAGACATATTTACTTATACACATAGTAATTATTTGCATGCATTGGAGGATCATGTTCAGTCTGGGGTGTTTTGTTAATATTCTGAACAAATATTTCACTCTCGATCACTTCCATATCTCCTAGAAATTTATAGTTTTAAAAATCTGAAGATTATGGGTGATGGGAGGTAAAGGAGACATGCCAGTGATGGAGTGTTTAACATAAACATCAAAGGATTACTCCAACCACCATGACCATTTCTGCTTTTAGACGTGGTCATAGAAGTAGGAGTCTGTATGTGCAGCGTTTCTGCTTGAAATACTGCACATACAGAGATATCAGCTATTTTGTGCTGTGGGCTAATTACACCCCCTGCATATGTGACTTACACATTCCAGGATCTCTGTGTCAATTATGTGCCAAAAATATGTATGTCATCAGCGCACACTGCACAGGATTGTAGGTACATTTTATATATGGAGTAAACCTTGAAAGCACATAGAATTAGGGAACGACCGATTATCAGTATGGTCGATATTATCGCCTGATATTCAGAATTTTCAGCGGTATCGGCCTATAAAGATACCGATATTGATGATAATACAGACCAGGGCCGCCATCAGGGCAGCACACTCTTACTTACCTTTCCAGCAGCTCCCTTCAGCTCCCCTGTCTAAATCTCGCAAGTCCCACAGCCGTCAGAGCGTTACCATGGCAACGTTCCGCGCGGCACGCAGGCCGCAAGAGTTAGACAGGGGAGCTGCTGGTAAGGGAAGTAGAAGTGCACTATGTCACTATGCACACACACACACTGTGCATTCATTATATACACACTACACACTGCTATATACACACTACACAAACACACACACTGTGCATTCATTATATACACACTACACAAACGCTCTGCATTCATTATATACACACTACACAAACACACATTGCATTCCCGATACACACACTACACAAACACTTACTGCATTCACTATATATACACTACACAAACACATGCTCTGCATTCATTATATACACACTACACAAACACACACTGCATCTACTACACAAACACACACTGCATTCACTAACCAAATACTCACTGCATCCACTACACACACATATATTCTTGAAAACATTAAATATTCTGACTCGCATGTATATTTTGTGCATTTACCTTAATTAAAAAATTGCAAAAACTAAATAATAAACATGTTCAGTTAACAGTAGATTTGTGTAGAAATAGTTTTTTTTTTTTTAAACGGTAAATGTACAGAATATCGGTAAGTTTTCAGCTATCGGCCTGAAAGTTCACAGATTATCGGTATTGGCTCTAAAAAAAATCAATATCGGTCGATCCCTACATAGATTCCAAACTGAGATTTTAGCACAAGCTTGTAACTACCTAAAAGTAAGTTATGGGTTGAGCTTTTATTTTCTTTACTGCCCATAACTAATTTTATTATAATGTAAACATGTCCCTGTGGGTATAATATGCATCTCTACAGTACAAGGCATTGCAGACTGCTATTGCAGCCTGCAAAGAATCTTTGTAGTATGATCCCTCCTACCACTATTTGTGGCGGCCAGAAAGGAGCCATGAATTTTGACCTACAAAAGTTCCTAGAAAGTGAGCTTCAATTTAGCCCAATTTGCATAGATACCGAGAAACTGAATTGAGCTGTTGCAAAAATAATATGCATTTGTCTGCAGTGTAAGTAACCACACTGGCACCAAGAGAAAGGTAAGTCGGGCTTTACGGACTAGATTTTGTTTTGCATTACAAAAAATAAAGCTTACATGCTATTGGCAGAAAAGGGAAATAAGAACCTAATGCAAAACTGGATTTATTTTCCATAACAGTAATACACTTGAAACAAACTATAGCCTGAATTCCTCTAAACTGTAAATAATTTGATTTAAAGAAAATCATTGCATCTAGTGCCATAATGTACACTTTACACCAACTTAAAGGACCACTATAGTGCCAGGAAAACATACTCCCGCCGGGCTGGATGGCGAGGAAAGGGGTTAAACAGCACCGGGTGGAGAGTTCTCCTCCTCCTCTCTGCCTCCGATCCTCCTCCTGGGCTGAATGCGCATGCGCGGGAAGAGCTGCGCACGCATTCAGCCGGTCTCATAGGAAAGCATTCATAATGCTTTCTTATGGACGCTTGCGTGCTCTTACTGTGATTTTCACAGTGAGAAGCACGCAAGCGCCTCTAGCGGCTGTCAATGAGACAGCCACTAGAGGATTTGGAGGCTGGTTTAACCCATTTATAAACATAGCAGTTTCTCAACATAGAGGGACCTGGCACCCAGACCACTTCATTAAGCTGAAGTGGTCTGGGTGCCTAGAGTGGTCCTTTAAGCACGGGTACACTGTAAAATATTAATTTCACTGTTGAATAGATGGATTTGTATTTGGCTTACCTTTTTAAACATCTTGTCATCTGGTGTTGGAGTATGACCTGTAGTGAGTCTATAAACTTTCCCTCTATAGTCTTTGGATTTATCATACGGATAATTAGCAACTACAGCCCCACCATGCAGGTTTGCGGAGAGGACAAAATTGTAATTATTCATCCATTCAATTGTTGCCAGTGTCTCAGGCTCCACCTGTAAAAGTAATTTGTGTATCCCATTAACTATTAAGTTTTTTTATTTTAATTTTTTTATTAATATTACCATAGCATAAATGTTATGTACAGAAAGAGCTAATTGAAGTTATCGAAAGTACAAAGGGAAAATTTGAGAAATTTGATGCTAGATGTAGTAGTGGTGTAAGAAGACTTCATAAGCAATATAAAAGGTTTTCTCTTCTTAAAGGTGACATTATAAACTAGAGTAGTTTATTTTTATTTTTATTTTTACTGTGTTTAATGAAATTGGAAACTCTGTAAAAATATAAATATATGAATGTAATTTTTGACAAAATCAAAGCAAATACTTCAACTGTCTTTTATTTATGAATGGAACTGCTGTGTCTGTATGAATGTTTCTCTATATGTATGTGTGTGTGTGTGTGTTATACAAAATACCATTGGTCAATTATTCAATTATTGGATAAGCCATGACATTCCAGCTGGTGTGACTGTTTGCTTGATCCTTGGCACCTTGGCTGATAAATTATCATGCCAGGCACAAGATCTGGAGTGCCAGATATTGACAGAGCACTGTTGTGGTTATGGTACTATGAGTGCCCTTGCACCTCCCCCAGTATGTAAGTATTAAGGGTGAGCGGAAAAATAGGTTGGGTTAATACTAAGCAGCACCCATTTCCTCTGATGGGCTTACTTTAAAAAACAAATAATAAATAAAATGAATGAAAGACCTAGACTTAAAATATAGAAAAATTGTACTTATAAAGAATTAGAAAATCACCTTTAATTGTTCATTTCTTCATATTAGATAACTTTATCCTACCTGGCTTCTCCAGTTGTCTGGGAGAGGTATATGATGATTTTGTCCGCCATTCTTTTCATGGTAATACATCATAATATTGAGATCTGGGAAGTTCCGATTCAGATCCACTCCATTGATGTTGCTACGTCCAGTGAGGTACCCGTTTGTTTCTGGTCCCTGTTGAGTGTGTGAGAATGCACATTTGTGAACATAGTACAGCATATTTAATCAAGCTATAAATCTGTCACGTGACTGGATTTAGAGAGTGATGTTTCACTACAAATACTACATACAGCTGATAACGAGCCCCTGCATTCAGTCTAGTCACGTAGGGGTAGGTAAGATTTGGCACTCCAGATGTTGTGGACTACATCTCTCATAATGCTATTACAGTCATATTGCTGGCATTATGTAGTAGACATCTAGAGTGTTGAAGGTTGCCTAAGCATGGCCCTAGTGCTATCAAAACCACATTGTGCAGGAAAAAAAGTGTGGAAGTGAAGGGATCAATCTGATATTAGCAATGGATGTTTACTGATATGGCATCTTGTTAAAATTATATATTAACAAAGATATATATTTCACAATTCACACACACTGGAGACACGAGCAACCATTATTGTTGGCCCTGATTCTCATGTAACATTGAATGAAAAATATCATATCCAGTTAAATAATTTGTGACATTGCCACTGTAATTTGGAGGTAAAGGGACACCATAGTCAACAGAACAACTTTTGCTTAAGTAAGCAGTTTTGGTGTATAATCAATGCCCATGCAGTCTCACTGCTCAAATCTCTGTCATTTAGGAGTTAAACCACTTTGTTTATACAGCTGTAGTTACACCTCCCTGTATGTGACCTGGACAGCCTTCCTAAACACGTCCTGTAAAGTAAGGTCTAATGTTTACACTTTCTTTATTGCACATTCTGTTTAATTTCAAATTTTTAATCTCCTGCACTGTTAATAGTTTGCTAGGCCTGACAGGAGTCTCCTGTTTGTGATCAAACTTTGATTTACAGAGCAGGAGATAAAGAGTTCTAGTAAGTTACATCTGATTAAAAATGAAACAATTTTTCATGCGGGCTGTGTCAGTCACAGCCAGGGGACGTGTTGCTAGAACTGCAGAAACAGAAGAGATTTTACTCCTAAATGGGAATGAATTGAACAAACAGACTGCAGGGGAATGATCTATACACCAAAACTGCTTCATTAAATGGACACTAGAGTCACCAGAACGACAGCTCATTGTATTTATATGAGTATAAGAAACCATGTATTTTCAGAGAAAAGGCAGTTTTTACATTACAGCCTAGGGATACCTCCACTGGTCACTCCTTAGATGGCTGCTAGAGGTGCTTCCTAGGGTAGTGCTGCACAGTGAGCAACACTGCCATTCAGTGTCTCTACCCTCTGCATGGAGACACTGAACTTTCCTCATAGAGATACATTGATTTAAAGTTCAGCGTCTCAATGCAGTGAGCACACTGTGCAGCACTGCCCCAGGAACCACCCCTAGTGGCTGTCCGTTTTCTCTGAAAAGGCAGTGTTTACATTAAAAAGCCTGATGGGACATACTATACTCACCAGAACAACTACAATACGTTGTAGTTGTACTGGTGACTATAGTGTCCTTTCCACTAAAGTTGTTTTGGCGATTACCTTATCCCTTTTAATTATACAGCGCAGTGCAGGTTTAGTGCTGCTAGTTTGAGGTTAATGCTGAGGGTGCTAATTTAATAAAGCTTGGTGTGACATGCATAATTATAGGTCTGAGATCCTGGTTAAAAGATAGGTCAATAAAGGTGATGACATAGAATTTGCCTTTGGACTAAAGCCCCTGGTCTTTTTGCCACCCAGAAACACATCTCATTGTCCTCATAAAAGGACAACGATATGAAGTCAAAATTATATATGTGCGCAGTATGTGCACCAGCAAAATCCAGATATCTTCCAGGCCTATAAAAAACTGAGTTGTACGTTTAATTTTTCTTCCATTACAGTTTTTTAGACTAGGTTTCTTCATTAGCCTACAATGTATTGTCCCTTGTGTGATAAGATTACAAGATTGCAGAATGTCACAATAATTGTGTTTGAAAGGAGAGTTTGTATATGAGTCTGCCATTGTGAAGAATAACCAAACATTCAATGCAATCCAAAGCCATGAACATTAGTGGGGGTTTTTCACTGGACGTCTGTTTTTAGTTTTCAATTGAAAACAAAAAAAATCACTCTGTAATTTTGATTACATTTATTTTGGTTACCCTTAGTGCTGGAAACGAAGAAGCACATTTTGTTGGATTTCCAATTTTGCAGCAAAACATCCACAAGGATTATAGTCTGGTAGGGCTATAATTTCTTCCTCTTTATAGAGCAAAATAACTTATTTTCAGCTGAGTTTGTAATTGTGCGTGTTTCAGACAATTTTCATAACAAGAATCTGCGTTCATATTCCTTATAGTAAAAATATATATATTTACATCATCTAAAATATTAAAAAGATGCATTTTAAAGCAGCTGTTTCACCTTTTAGAGGTCTCTGCAAATAAAGGGTGGGCAAAATTTAAGATCAGGATTTGAAAGGTAAATAACGTATTTGTTAGTAATTCAATTTTTTGTGGCAGGTACAGTTATCGGAAGCTAAAAGGTTCACCAAACCTTTCAGCTTCCAATTACTTCCTGTGGGGATATCTGAAGGAGCAGTTGTATGTGAGCTGCTCAAGGTGAATATCTGTGCATGAATTCGAGCCCTAGAGCCTCAAACATGAACTAATGTTATGAACAATGCAATTGAAAGATTCCAAATGGAACTCTTTTAAAATGTCATCTTCCGTACATGGTCCAACAATTCTGCATACGCTAAACATTCATTGTATGTAATGTCAGTGAAATTGGCTCATTAACAAAGGTTATTGACCTCTCAAACCCTACTGTGAATTTTGGCCCACCCTGTACATATACTAAGGTCCCCAAAGATGACATCTCCATTTGGAGTGCAGCGGCCCACGGGGAATACTATGGGCAGATATTTGATTCAGTTCCTTGCTCTTTATCCACTAGGAGTCCTCATCACTTCTGTACTCTCATGCATGTACTGCAATTTCTGGTCTATGATCTCCTTTAATGGCCCATTTAGATGTTTTGGAAGTGGGGCTCTGCACAACTTTCTCCCCCCAAAAAACGACTGCAAGTGTAAGCGAGGATGCTCCTATTTTCTGTGCAGACCAGAGAGAAGCAATGTGGAAGGCAAACGGGGAAACTATAAAAGGTCTGCTTTAGTGTTGATCACAAAAGAGGCAGACTTATAAGAGGCAAATTGCTGCAGTGATAAAGGAGCACAGTGATAGAGGACCTCCCTACACCATACCCTACACAAGGAAATAGATTGTTATGGTGTCTTGAGTGTCCCTTTAACCAAGTGTAAAGGAAACTGAACACTTGTGCTGAACAATAAAAATGGATTCTTAGCAACTGAAATTTAGAGTCAATAAAGCATTTAAATTCGCTCTTTACCATACTTAACATTCCACACAACAGTGATACATTCTATGAGAAATGTAATAAAATAGGAAAAAATAAAACCGTGATGCTAAACCTTCCCATGTCAGAGGATGAATGCAGTATATCACTAAACAAATAAGTAGGTTCTAACCAACTTAATGTGCACCATTCATGCAAATACATAAACATGGTTATCAAAAGCACAGCTCACTGTCATGCTGCCAAGAATCTATGGGCATGAAACACTTTAAAAATGATATATATATTTTAATTTATTTATACTGCACAATCAATTTGGATAGCTTGACAAAAAGGGTCTCTTCCCAACACCCACAGCCCTCTTCAGCTATCTTAGTCTATCAACGTCGTCTACGTTGAATAAAAATAATCATGCGGATATTAATCAATTGTAATTTCTGCATGCTCAAGACCGCTATACTTGTATGTGACTGAGTGTCTCTTTAAAGAATGTAAAATGTTATTTATAAATTTTGCAAACTGCATACAGCCCCACTGCACCAGCCAGAAAATCAATTGTGAGAAAATATAATTGAAACTTTGTTTCCCAGTTATTTTCCTGGCCAAATAAATAAATTCAATTAATAGAGTCAAATCCACACTATGTTTGCAAATGTCAAATATTAGGTTTGTAATCACCTGATCTGCAGCCACTTCATACCCATCTGGATTCATCGAAGGCAGAATATGTATCCTTGTATTCTGGATTAGCCTGGTAATCCGATCATTGCCATTCCGATATTCTTCACACAGAAACTCTGCAAGTTGGATAAGTAGCTCCCTTCCCAGCACCTCGTTGCCATGCATGTTTCCAACATATTTAAATTCCGGCTCCACTGGAGAACAATAAATTAAGCATGCGTTAGTTGAAAGTTGTGACCCTGTGGATTAGCTATGAAACTGAGAGAAACAAACTTAATCTGCTAAATAATTAAATTGCCTTTTGTTGTCAAAATAAAATACCTATATTTATAGCATCTGTTGTTTATTTACCTCAGATCCTTATTTATTGCAATATGTTGCCAAATGTAGGTCATTAAACCAAGTTTGAAAAAAGTTGAGGAATAGTTGAGGGATAGACCAAAGGGTGTGTTTTTGGCCTGCTTGCCATAACAGGATGTTTAGTGAATGGGCCCCACCTGGTCTGCACGAAAAAAGTTAAAGGGACACTATAGTCACCAAACAACTTTAGCTTAATGAAGTAGTTTTAGTGTAGCTTATGCCCCGTTTAGGAGTTAAATCACTTTTCTTTCTATCTATGTAGCCCTAGCCACTCCTCCCCTGGCTGAGACTGACACAGCCAGCATGAAAATAATTGTTTCATTTTTAATCAGATGTAACTTACTTTAAAAGTTTGTGTCTCCTGCTCTGTAAAGTAAACTTTAATCACATACAGGAAGCTCATGCAGGGTCTATGAAGCTACTATAAGAGCTGGAGATAAGAAATTAAAAATTAAACAGAATTTGCAATACAGGAAGTGAAAACATTAGACTCTTTACAGGAAGTGTTTAGGGAGGCTGTGTAAGTCACATGCATGGAGGTATGACTAGGGCTACATAAACAAAGCAATTTAATGCCTAAATAAAAGATAATTGAACAGCGAGACTGCGGGGGCATGATCTGTACACCAAAACTGCTTCATTAAACTAGTTAAGTTGTGCTATAGTGTCCCTTTGACTGACAGGAACAATTCAGCCCTCAGAGAATTTAGCAGGGGCCTAGCTCAATGGAAGGAGAGAGACTTCTTAATACATTTTGGGCAAGTGGAGGTAAATTTGTGATTTTCAAATTTTTTTTGTTTGTTTTAAAAAGGGAGCATCTTAGCATCTTCAACCAGAGAACACGCTGGTATTCTCTCCATTCCTTGTAAGTGTAGCTGCTGGGGCATATACTAAGAATGTATCAAATAACTTGAAGAGAATAGTAATTACGTTGCCATTGGCCACAGAATGTAGTTTAATATACCCAGGAGTGTGTCCCTCTTACTAAAAGAGCCCCCCACACATTCACAGAATCAATAGATTGAGTAAATCTAACAGAAGGATACATTATTGCATCAAATATTAGGCTATAAAATTTCTTTATCTTATAATATGCACTCTCTTGCAATGTTCAGGCTGTGTCCTTTTACCCGCTGGATTCACAAACCGTATTTGCACATGTACAGTGCAAGGGATCAGATGTGCAGTGCAAATTGTGGGTCATAGTCTGAGAGCCACGACTCCTTCAGATACCAGAAAACTGTCAAGATGCACATTGGTTACATGGTGTCAAAGGAATTCTACATTCTACCAGGCAGGGGTTGAAAGTGCTGCTCAGCAGCATGTGAAATTCATGTGCTCTAGATAGGATTTCAATTATCTGATTATAGTGCTTCCTTTGGGGGATCATGGCTGTGATTAACGGATTTCACATCAGGAGTCCATGAACCCTATGCACTACAGGGAATGATTTTCTGTCTCTGAAGAAGGAAAAACCATAAGCATCACAGAAATAAGGGCACCATTGCAAGTTATTTCTACTACTACTTACACTGTTCTCTCCCTGCAATCTAGCCCTTGTGTATTTTTATTCAAAGAAATAAAAAAAACTACTGCCTAGAAGTAAAAAAAAGTTAAAAAAAAATACCTTTCAAGAGAGGCATGATAAAGGGCCTGAGTGGATCAAAATGTTACCATTTTGACTAAATAAACACAGATCTTTTAAAAAGTACTCGGTTTGTGCACTTCTGATGTGGGCAGATTCAAGATTCCCTTTGTGTTGAGCACCTCACTCATCCACGATAGGTACCCTTTTGAAGTGACCACATATATACATACATTTGAGGAGAGTCCCAGGAAGCAATTTAAACAGTAATTATTGCAGTCAGCATGTTTATATCCCATGTTAAAATAAGTGTAGGACCCACCGATATTGGGGTACTGTGACATAGTGGTGGGCTTAACACAATATAGCCATATGGTACAACTGAATCCCTATATTTGTTTGCCATGAAAGGTGATTTTAAGTAGCCTTGTAAAATATAAAGCTGTATTTTGTGTGTGTGTTTGTCTGTGCACGCGTTCCTTAGGCTGTAGGCAGGTTTACCATATTCAGATCCATGATTGTGTTGGCTTTGAGGTAAAGAAATGCTACATCCCAAAGGCTGGGGAAAAATGTGGGACAGCAATCATATCCTATGTGCCACTTTACATGCATTCAAGAATAGATCCTTGGCCTGAGCAAAGGCAGTTTCAATTCTTTTTTGCTTCTTGCTGGGTTTCGGTAATAACTTCATGGTACGAATCATGTTATTATAGTGGATGCAGTTGATATCCCCATTAGCAAAACAACTACATCATTCATTTTAAGACATGTCCGTTAATATCAGGATCTGAATGAAATCACAAAATGCATCAATTGCCTTCAAAACAGTTTCCACCCTCAAGGGTCACAATGTTTTTCCTTTGGAAATGGAACAGAATTGGGAAATCCCTAAATCCTCAACTGTTTGGAGGGTGCATGGGAACTGCTTTGAAACCCACTGGTCTAGACGTCTGCATGACAATGATCAATAATAGAATGCAACCAAGTTTCAAACTGCAATGAATGGTAACCATTAGAATAGACACAGTAGTGAGTGCATTAATTGCTTTGTCAATTTCACCTCCAGGCACAAATATTCACACAATGACAATACTAGAGGAACAATTCCTCAGCTAGTGGGTATCAACGGGGAGCAGACAACCTTTAAAATCATGTAACAAAAACTAACAGGCACCATTGTATGGTCTGACAGCCAGTAATTTAGAAACATGTAGATTCCAATCTGCTTTTCTAAGGATAGTTTTTTTTAAAAACCTTTTTTTCCATTAAAGCAGCTGTAGGAAAACTGTGAACTAACAGACATACCAATTATAATTCAGTGTGATTTTTCACCGTATGTAAATGGAGATACAAGTTTTGAGCACCTCCATCCATCCTTGTAAATATCAATGTAGCATGGAAAAGAATTGGAGTAGGGTGAATAAATTTACACGTTGATTATTTTTATAGGAAATCCAAGAAGAGAAATGGTAAATTAGTGGACTTGACATTTCAACTTAGTGACTCTTTTAGCACTCCGGTTAGCCATTACATCCTTTGTAACTTTGACTTTCATGAAGTTAATGTTGGGTATGGTGAGCTGATGAGTTCAGCTAAGTCCGGCTACAATTTACTGTTTTTCCAATGTGGAGTCTGAATGGGGCAGTCATGGCATAACTCAACAAATGTTCCCATTCTGTGTCCTCAAAGTCAATTGATCTCAAATGATTTGTGATCCAACTGTTGCCTTTAAGCGATCATGTTTTGGGATTGTATTCAGTAAATGCTGAACTGCTATTATCACACCTTGGCTATTGTATCTGAATTTTGCAGTTAGGTTTTCAAATCACTGCAGTTCAATGTTTAGTGAATAAAACCATTGGCCTTTAAAGCTCAGTAAATCCCATTACATAAGTATTTGGATACATAGTACATGAGTTCCTGTGAGCAAAGGACTCTTTTTACATGATGGTAATACGATTTTTATAACTAGGCAAACTATAAATGCAAAGGCAGTACCTATAATTTTTAGAATATTTTCCAATGAATTACTTTGCTCTTGGCACATAGTACAACGTTATTGGTATAATAAATTCAGATAACCCCCCCATACAACTTTTGACATAACCGTTTGCTCCTAAAACTGTACATTGCAGATTCCCATAAATCTATTCTTTTAGAATTCTAAAAAGTAGAAGATTAAAAGATGATTTGACGCATAAAGGGGCAAAAATGACTGCAAATAAAATAGCATGTCATGTGCTATTTCTTTTCCCTCTAAAACACAAGTCTTAACTTGCATAAAATCAGTAAATTATCATTCTGTAAAAAAATTTTTAAAATTTCGGATTAAACCAGAATATTTCTACAATGTTACTGATGACAGCTTGTTACTACTGCTTGTGATTGTCACATCCCCCTCAATGAGACACATGCATTAAGAGCAATCCTGTGTTGAATCAGGATTATTCCATTGGGTTCTTCATTTAGCAGTTCATCCCAGAATGTGTCTCTGTACATTTGGCCCTTTATCAATAAAAACACGTTCTCTCCATGCAGTGCTTCCTCTCACTTTGAAAATCTGCGGTTAATCACATATAACACATAAAGAAAGGTCAGGTGAAACACAACAGGTGTGGCACTATGTAAAAAAAAAAAATACTATCCTTGTAAAAAAACAAATGTGTGTGTTTATAGATTTGACCTCATCAGCACCAGTCTTAGGCAATCGATTTGCTGTAATGAAAGAGTTAATTAGAACACACAAACACTGACCTGCAATTATACAGTAAGTGCTTTTACAGACAGTTTTCTTAGAAACTGTTTAAGTACAACTCCTACAACTCTAGCCCCATAGAGAGATGTACTCCCACAGCAGCAGCAGAGACATTCTATGGTCTTGTTTGTAAATAAGTCCAAATAAACAGAGTTTGCAGTTTCTCTAAGCAGGTGCCCCCCATGTCTGTGTGTGGATATCTACATCAGTCACTGCAGTACTTACAGAGTTCATGGGTTCCAGGCTGATCACTGAATTCAATGACATAGAGATGTCTCTCTTGAGCACTTCTTCCAATGCTGTATATCCTGGTGATATAAGGACACTCATTCTGTACACTGTAAAGGGCTCTGACCAGGTCTTCATAGCGGTGATGGTAGAAATTCACTGAGCCTGCCACCTGGCACAGGAGGCAAAGTTTAAGAAGAGTCCACAATCCCACATTCATCCTTAGAACCATGGCTAAGTTTCTATATACAATGTAACACAGCTCTCCTGTTCTATGAAGTGTAAACTTTAACCAGCTAGCTCTGGTTTCACACAGAAGTGCCAGCCCACTGCATCCCAGTGGATGTTAGTGTGTGAGGTGGACTGTGCAGAAAGCGAACATTGACAGGGCTCCTCCCTGCACAGCTATACAGCATCCTAGGGAATGATTTATAGCGGCAAACACCAACATTTGTTGCTCACAAGGCCCCCTTTAACCCTCCAGTTGATCAAACTCACTGACACAGTTGGCTAGATTGTTTTGTGTGTTTGTTTGTGTGTGGTTGTGGGAAGGGGGGGATGTTTTAGAATAAAATTAGATTTTGTATAAACAAAGACATTTTTAAACTTCTATAAGTTTTTTGTTTTTTTATATGGAAATATTTAAGTGATTTGGACAAAACCCTTTCTTTGCCCTTGCTTTAGAGCAGGGATTCCCAATGCATTCTTCCCGTAGACCAACACTGTGGAACCGCAAAAAATGTTGTGGCGCCATAGCACAAACCTTTTAATTAGCAAAGCGTAATGTTTTCTGCTTTTGGCAAAAATAATTTTTGGGGTGTGTGTGTGTGTGTGTGTATGTATATATACTAATTTCTACAGCTAGTAAACAAATTGTAGTCCTTAGGAGCAGGTGTGCTTCTGTGTGTAGTAGTTGGTGTTTGTATATAATTTTAGCGTTTTAATACAGGAGAGTGTATGTATGTAATGTTTACATTTGTGTGCAGAGGTGCGTTTGGATGTAGTGTTACATTTTAAATGCTGATGTACATTTGTCTGTAGTATTAGTTTTAGTGAAGGGTGAGTTTGAGTGTTTGTATATAATTTTGGAGTTGGAATTCAGGGGTGTCTTTGTATGTCATGTTTGTGTCTGCAGGTATTTTACTAGTATGTTGTGTTGGTGTTTGATTGCGGGGACACATACACTGCCACATACACACATACACATTAACAAATAGAAACACACACACACACACACAGGTACACATACTGGCACGTACACACAGAAAAAGACACATTAGCACATACACAGATACAGGGGAGGGCTGGCAGCCTCAGGTCTGGGGGGCAAAACCAGTCAAGTGGCCCATTGCACCACCAAATCAGTTCACCACCCATGCCCACCTTTTCCTGGTTTTATAACAGATATTGATGTTATGCTAATCAGTAGCTCTTTGCCATACCCGCTCCTTCACGGCTCTGACTTTCCATGTTGTCAGAGCGCAGGCTGAGAATCTCTGAGCCTGTGCTCTGACTCACTAACTGAGCGTCGGAACCACAAGGGAGAGGATATAATCTGACTACACATACTGCTGGTGCGCACCATCAGCAAATTGTTTAAATTGAATATGCTGGTGTCCCCAACTTGTGAGCTGTGTTGGCCGCCTCTGTTGTCATGGCACCCTGCGTGATCACACAGCTTGCACACCCCAACGGCTGGCCCTGCTGACACACACTGATGTTACTACTTAGACATCCCTCAATATTAATACAGACATCAGAGTAAACACCAATAAACTGTGGAAACAGAGCTGATCCCCCCCAAATTTATAAAGATTCGCTTAGTGGATTTGTTGTAAGATTAAATCATGCCTCCTCCTCTCTCTTTCCCATGCGCTGCTCTGTAGGCTGTGGCTGCATGGGGAACAGCTGGTTAATGTAATGCTTGCAGGACGGCCAGCTGCCGCAGAACCTCTTTGTTCCCATCTCTGCAAAGGGCTCCAGGCACTGCTTGTTGTGAGTGTGAGCCACTGTCAATTAGGGGCAGAGGGCACTTGCACTGCGGTAAAGAAGGGTCTGGGCAGGAGGAGAGTGCAGTGCAATCAGTGCACTCCCATCCTGTGGGTCACCAGTAGACTGATGCACCTGCTCAGGATCAGAGCCGGTGCAAGGATTTTTGCCGCCCTAGACAAAAGAAAAATTTGCCGCCCCCCCATGTGACATCACAATGCCCCACCCATATGATCTGCCATATGAACTAACGCCAATGCTGCACACAGTGTGTGTTTACATTAAAAAGCCTGCAGGGACCAGCTATAGACACCTGAACCATTTCATTAAGCTATAGTGTCCCTTTAATGTGAGGTAAATTATAGATTAGTGTCACTAATAATATACTAGATTGCCTACTTACAACCAGATGAGGATGATGATGGGCTGCAGTTTGGCTCCACTGGTCTGGTGTAGAACAGGATCTCTGGAGGCTGTTTGCAACTGTGGTCACAAAATTCAATGTTCTGGGAGAATTGGAAGCAGCTCCATTTTTTGGGGGCCCTTTACACAGCTCTTGGTCTGGGCCCCAGGGCCTGATGGTGAGTATGCCTATAAGGCCCACTCATAAGTCCACTTATATGTTCCACCCACCCATGAGTTCGCTCACAGGGAGTGGAGTGTGTAGGACATGTGTTATGTGTTATTGTAGAGGATCTAATATGTGTGCTTATGGTATGTAGTGTATAGGGATACCAGTTTGTGTAGGTGATGCAGTGTGTTTGCGTGTAGTGGAAGCAGTGTATATTTGTGTATAAGGGATGTATTGTGTGTTTCTGGTTGTGTGTAAGGGATGCATTGTGTGAATCTGTGTCTGTATGCATAAGGGATGCAAGGTGTGTGTCTGTATGTGTATGCATTGAGTGTAAGAGATGCATTGTGTTTCTGTGTGTATATAAGAAAAGCAGTGTGTGTGTAAGGGTTTGCATTGTGTGTTTCTGTGTATGTGTGCAAAGGATGCATTGTCTGTGTGTAAGGGTTGCATTGTGTGTGTGTAATGGATGCATTGTGTGTTTCTCTGTGTGTAAGGGAAGCATGTTATGTTTCTGTGTGTGTAGGGATGCATTGTGTGTTTCTGTGTATGTATAGGAATACATTGTGTGCGCGTAGTGTGAAAGAGCTCCCTGTCTTGCCCCCTGTCCTATAGAGCTGTCCCTTCTGTGCCTCAGAGCTCTCCTCTGCCCCTTAGTGGTCTCTCCTCTCCCCCACCCTCCCCTAGTGATCTCTTCTCACACTCACCCACCCTGTGCTCTTCTCATCCCCCCCTCCACCCTCCCTGTGTTCTTCTCACTCCCCCTCCATGTGTTCTCCTCACCCCCTTGTGTTATTCTTACCCCCTCCTCCCTGTGTTCTTCTTACTTCCCCCTTGTTCTTCTTACTCCCCCTTGTTCTTCTTACTCCCTTCTTCATACCCCCTTCTTCTTCTTACTCCCCCTTCTTCTTA